GCCAGGTGGACTAGTTTGGAGCACTGGGGGGTTTAAATATCTGGGGTTTTTCCTGGGCTCTGGCAGTCTTCAGAAAAACTGGGACCAGACAGCGGAGAACGTCCAGGGCCCTTTGAACAGGTGGAGGTGGCTGCTACTTAAAATGTCCTACCGGGGGAGGGAGCTTGTGATAAATAACCTGGTCTCCTCTGCCCTGTGGCACAAGTTTATGTGTGTGGACCCACCTCCCTCTCTCCTGTCTACAATCCAGAAAATCCTAGTGGACTTCTTTTGAGACAAGCTGCACTGGGTTCCACAAGAGGTGCTCTACCTTCCAAAGGGGCAAGGTGGACAGGGACTTCAGGGAATTCATCTGGCCAGTCAGGGAGACACTTTCAGATTACAGTTTCTCCAGAGGTTCCTAACAGGCCCAGAGGAGCTGCAGTGGAGGCCTCTGACTATGTCCATCCTGCAGAGGGCGTGGGGCCTAGGCCTTTCTATGTTTCTCTCCAACCACCAATCTTACTCCCTCCCTCCTTTCTATTGTGGCCTGCTGTCTGTGTGGAGCATGCTGAGGAAGCAGCGACAGGGGAACATCTCACTGTACTGGCTCCTAAAGGAGCCCCTGGATTATCCTTGCTGGGTACAACCTGAGCTATGTGACTGTTTCACCTCACGGGGGTCCTCACACTGGAGCAGCTGTCGGAGAGGACTGGACCTGACATGGACCATACAGACACTCTTGCTGCTCTCCTGGGCCTGAGGTCTGTTCGCACCGTGGAGCAGCTCCTGTGTCACTGGAGGCAGCAGATGACAGAGCAGGAATGAACTCTGCTCAGAGGATTCAGCTCTGGTTCATTGTTTCCAGACTCTACTGACTCCTTCCCTGGCCTCAACCTGAGTCCTGACCTTTGGCCCCCTGCTGTCCTGTCCTGTGGTCTGTCTCCCTGGAAGCAGCCTCTGGAAAGACCTTCTACAGACTGTTGGTCCAGGCCCTAAACCATCACAGACTATGTGCTCGCCTGGACACTGTGTGGACAACTCACCTGGGCCTGGCCCCCACCCTCAGCCCAGCTTGGGGTTTCCTGTACAAACCCCCCCTCACCAAGAGACAGGGAGACCTACAGTGGAGGCTGTTGCATTGTTGTTTTTGGGAGTGTGGGCGTCTGACACAACTGTTCCAGCTGCTGGGAGCAGTGTTCAGGAGTGTGGGGCAGGTTTTTAATGCACAGGTGGTTGTGTGTGGACGCAGGTACTCTGTGAGGAGTAGGAGGAGGGGCCAACTCCTGAGCTTCCTGATAGGACAGGCTAAGAAGGCGGTGAACATGAGCAGAAGGAGGAGGCTGCAGACTCAGAGCTGGGTCAGTGTCAGAGGTTCTGTTTGTCAGGATGGTGCAGGTCAGACTCAGGCTGGAGTTTGGCCTCTTCTCCATGAACGGTGATGAGGAGGGTTTTGAGGAGCGCTGGAACTTTGGGGCAGTGTTGGCCTCTGTGAAGGAGGGACAACTCTTTTTTGGACCTCTGTTTTTGTAAATGATGTAAATAATGTAAATACTGTAAGGAGTGTAAATAGTATGTGAATGTAATATCTTTTTTTTTTTAATGTAAATAGCACAAGGTGTGGATAGAATTCAGTGCAAATGTTTTTGATGGACAGAATAAAGGTCTCTCTCTATCTTTCTCTCTCTGTGTCTATCTCTCTCTCTGATTCTCTCTATCTCTCTTTGTCCAGCTCCCTCTCTTTCTCTTTATCTCTCCCTCTGTCCATCTCTCTGTCCATCTCTCTCTCTCTGTCTCCCCCTCTCTCTCTGTTTATCTCTCTGTCTATCTCTCTCTCAATCTCTCTTTGTCTATCTCTCTCTCTCTGTCTCTCCTGCCCTGTGAGAGATGAGTATGATTACCTCATCGATGGCACATTTCCCTGTGTTTATGTTGTGGCACACCTTTGATTCCAGCATTATAAAAGAGGAGCTGAGCATTATGCACAGTTGGAAATCATCTGCAGAGAGAAGACTGATTTCTTTTGGTGGATTTCATATTTTAACTTTAAGGGATTTATTGTTGATGATAAAAAAATGGTAGTATACAACGTCACGGTCTTTGTTGGCAACCGTGCATATGCAGATACTACTAACAATGTCTACATCAAGCTGGTGGGGAAAAACGGTCAAAGTGAGCATACTTACGTTGAGAAAACAGGATTTTTCCTTACTGGATCAGTAAGTACTGCACTACATATTAACACTGAATTAACATTTTTGCAGACTGAAGATATTAAAGACCAACTATGTCTCTGCTTAAGAAAACAAGCTTTCCTCTGACCTGTACTGAATCTCTTGGGGATCTGATCATGGTGAAACTGGAAAAGAAGCCACAGCTACTGTTTCCGAATGACGACTGGTTTGTGGACAAAGTGGAAGTGACGTCTCCGGAGGGACCAGTCTATACGTTTCCCATTTACCACTGGATCATCGATGACAAGATTCACTGTTACAGGGAGGGAAAAGGTCAGTGGCATCTTACTTATCACCAAAACTACCTCTTCACATTTCTCATGTTCTAATTATGTATGTCTTTGTCTCCTGGCAAATCCAAAAAATGATAACACCTTAATACAAAACTGGAAATATGGCCTGGCCAAACGTGATTGTGCAGTCAGACTTGTTTATTTGATATATATATATATATATATATATATATATATATATATATATATATATATATATATATATATATTAGTGCTCTCATGCGATTAAAAAAATTGAGAGATTAATTAATTATGATCTGTAATTAATTAATCTAATTAATCTCATTTTAATCTCACCTAAAAATTGCTGAGAAAAGCCTTCAATTTGAGGTATTTTCATTTAAATTCATTATTACATTATTGTGGCAGATCAAAAGACTCATATAGAACAAAAAAAGTGACTTTATAAAGTCATTTACTGTTTAACAAATCTCTCCAATTTGTCTGTTGAGCCCAAGTCTCCATGAATAAGAAACTGTTTGTTGTAAAGTAGCAAAGACTAGAAAATCTGAAAATAATAACTTTTGTCTACTTAAAGACAATAAAAAGTCCAGTCTTTCCTTAACCATATTAAAAATATTATTGATAGAGAAATGTTTTATATATGAGATCACTGGTTTTAGTCCTTGTTTTAGTCCTGGTTTAGTCCTACTTCAGTCCTAGTTTAGTCCTGGAATGGATTAATCCTGTTTTAGTCCTGGTGTTAGTTCTGGTTTAGTCCTGGTTTAGACCTGGTTTTAGTTCTTGTTTTAGTTCTGGTTTAGTCCTGGTTTAGTCCTGGACTGGTTTAGTCCTGGTTTAGTCCTGGACTGGATTAGTCCTGGTTTAGACCTGGTTTTAGTTCTGGTTTTAGTTCTGGTTTAGTCCTGGTTTAGTCCTGGACTGGTTTAGTTCTGGTTTAGTCCTGGTTTAGTCCTGGTTTAGACCTGGTTTAGTCCTGGGTTAGTCCTGGACTGGTTTAGTCCTGGTTTAGACCTGGTTTAGTCCTGGACTGGATTAGTCCTGGTTTTAGTCTTGGTGTTTGTTCTGGTTTAGAGGCTGCACAGGAGGAAGCGCGGTTTACGCCGCGTACGCGAGAAAACACGATCCACACGCGGCTCACGGGAGCACGTCGGTGTCCACGCGCAGTAACTACGGAAGGAAACGTGGTCCGCGCGTTCTCAGGTTAATGACGATGATGAAGGTGTGTGTGTGTGTTTGTTGTGTGTGTTTGTGTGTGTGTGTTTGTGTGTGTTTGTGTGTGTTTGTGTGCGTGTCCCCTCATGTGGCAGGTCACTATAGGACAGTAGTGCAGACATCATGAGTCTATGCAGGTTGTTTTCACCAGTGACATTTAAGTTGTAGGCGATTTTATATTTGTTATTTTCTTTTATATTTCACGTCGGGAGAATAATTTCCAAGACACGAATGTGTTTTTACCTGTGCACTGCTGCCTCTGTTCTACTGGCTCTTCGACTTCGTCCATTGTGCGACTGACGCCGCCAGCGTTAACATAACGTTTACATCGCTCTTACTGCCGTGTTTTGTGTGGGTTTCCGGCAATGAGTGGAATTACCGAAATAAAAAAAATTATAAATGTGTTTTTTTGTGTGTGTGTGTGTGTTGTTGTCCCAACAACACATAAAAACAGGTTTTTATAATAAAGCAACTCACATACAGAAACACTAAAGTTAGAGATTAAAAATGAGATTAACGCGATTAAAAAACATAACGCGCTAAATATGACTGTAATTAATTAATCGCAATTAACGCGATAATTTGACACCTCTATATATATATATATATATATATATATATATATATATATATATATATATATATATATGACAGACAATGAGTGTAAAAATGTATAGTTCTAGTTTTAAAATGTAACAAACAAGAACAACATGTTTTGAATAAGTTCACAGTATTGCTGTGCCTTTTCTGAAAGTGTTTTTGAACTTAACAGCTTTAAAAGTTTATGAAGATTATAAGTTTCTTAATGAAGGTCGAAGGCAGCTGGAGGTAGAGCTCAGAAAAGCAGAATACTGGTAAGCATATTTCTTACATTAATTTAATAATAATAATAATAATAATAATAATAATAATAATAATAATAATAAGCATGTATTGTATCTGCATATGTTCCAGTTGGGAGGTTTATTCAGAGGGCCTACCTTACTGCATGAAAGCAGATGATGCAGTTAGCCTGCCTCCAGATGTTCGATTCTCTTTCACAAAGGAGAAAGGATTCAAATGGAATCTGGTACAAGGGTAAGCCATTGTTTGAACAATTATTAATCATGTCACATCATTTGTAAAATATTAAAATGAAAATGTTTCAAGGCGAATCGCCATGAAACTGACAGCTACAGGTCCAGACCCTTGGACTGATTTAGATTCCATTTACAAAGAATTTTGCAAATACAAATCAGCTGCTTCAGGTATGGCTCTGCTCTCTCTGTCATATTATTGTGATCACTACAGTTTGTTACAATGTGTGAATGTTTTTCAGACTATGTGTATAAAAACTGGAGAGAAGATGATTTCTTTGGTTACCAGTTTTTGAATGGACTCAACCCCAATATGATCCAGCGCTGCTCCTCTCTGCCTGTGAACTTCCCTGTCACAGATGACACAGTCTCTCTGGAGGGTGGGGCCAAACTGACAGATGAGATGAAGGTGACTGCACTACTCTACATCTATTGTATACGTCTATCAATAGTCTTGTCTCGGTGTACGCAACTAGACATTCTATAACCACTTTTTAATCTGAAATGTTAACACTGTATGTATGGTGGTTCATATTTTAGAAAGGCAACATCTTCCTGTGTGATTATAAGCTTTTGGATGGAGTGAAGACCAATACTATCAATGGGGAAAAGCAGTATCTGATGGCTCCTCTTGTTCTCCTTCACAAAACCTTTGATGGCGCGCTGAAGCCAGTAGCCATTCAGGTGGGACATCAAGCTGATCCTGGGAACATTCACACAGGTGCATGAAGTAACAGGTTATGTGTCTGCCCCTGCAGCTCAAACAGACGCCATCAGAGGACAACCCCATCTTTCTCCCAGCCGACTCAGAGTACGACTGGTTACTGGCCAAGACCTTTGTGAGAAGTGCAGAGTTTAACTACCATGAGATTAATGTGCACCTGCTGCGCACTCACCTGCTCGCTGAAGTCTTTACTGTGGCTTTAAAGAGAAACCTGCCCAGGGTGCACCCTCTGTACAAGGTCAGCACTTTCTCTATGCTCTTGGTTTACAATGTGCGTGGAATGGCTTTGCTCTTATTTAAAGAAAGGAGTTTTTTCTCTTAATGTTGGCTCATGCCCATCATCTGTATCTCTAAATTATTCATTGCAGAGTGTCACAAGGCTCCATGTTGGGCCTGTTTTTATTGTCTTTCTTTCTTTTTTCCCCCCAACATTTTACAACTTTGTTGCATTTTTACTGTTGTAAAAATACCACAAACTGCTGTGAACTACTTTGGTCACAACTATGTGTTGTGCCACTAGGGGCAGTAGGAGTATGAATATTCATTTTACTCATTTGCTCCAACCAATTACACCCAATGTGTCTCAACAACACCACCCTGGATAGTGCAGGGACACTTAACTTTATACACATATGTGATTGAGTGGACGAGAGACAGATATAGAAAATATACAGATTTTTATTACATAATTATGTTTGCATATGTGCAAAATAATTTCATTTTAAACTGATAAAAATTGGTACCTTCTCATTCACACTTATTGAAAATACACCAATTCATATTTAATGTAACAGTTGCAATACAAAAGCAGCTTCAAGAGAATTATACCTGATGCCTGATGAACCTGATGGTCGGAGGACACTGAGCCGTGGAGCAGTCTGTCACAGGCTGTAACTCCACGTGGCATTAGGGCTTGTGCAAGCTCAGATCTATGGAGGACAAGAAGAGCAGGTGGCCATGACCTGGACACCACACTGTAAACCAGGATTAATTATAATACTTTAATCTAATGTTAAATGTAATTTGGAAGACACGATTTCATACTGGAGTGGTGAGTAAATGACACACTGCATAAATCAGCTGCTTGCACAGCTCTCAAACAGCAGGAGACATCAGAGGTGACAAGAGGTGGCGCTGGTGAGGGACGCCCTTTTAAAGGTTCAAGTCATGTGGAATAGGCTGCCAGCAGCTGTTTTTAAATGTGTTATGTAAATAAATGTGATTGATGACATCACTACACCCAGCATGTTGTACAGCTGCTTTCAACTGAAGTCACTTCAGCAGCACAGTAACTAAAAAGGACTAATAATAATGCATCAGTTTTATATCACACTTTTCTGGACACTCAGAGACACTTTGCAGTTCATTACTCATTCACTCCACACTCGGTGGTGGTAAACTACTATTGTAGCCACAGCTGCCCTGGGGCAGCCAGTCTGCACCATTGGCCCCTCCGACCACCAGCATCACTAAATAATTGTCTCTGTGTTTTTCTCGTCACAGCTTCTCATTCCTCACACCCGATACACTCTACAAATGAATGTGCTGGCCCGACAGAGACTTATTTCTGAAGACGGTGCCCTGTCACTTGTAAGATATGGCGGTTGATTAATTCATATAAAACTGATTAACAACAGTTACAACAACAGATACAAAGTCAAAAGCTCTTTCTACTGTTGCAGAATAGTGCCCCAGGTAAAGAGGGTTTGGTGACCATCCTTCAGAAGGGCCTGTCCTCCCTGACCTACAGCTCTCTGTGTATCCCAGATGACATCACAGAGAGAGGAGTGGAGTCTGTGCCCAACTACTACTACAGGGACGACGGTCTCAGGGTTTGGGACATCATTCACAGGTACTGCTTCCTGTTTAAAATCTGACACCTGCTTGTCCATGGCAATCCGATCTCACAGTCTAAGCAAGACCAGGCCTGGTTCAGTATTCTCCCAAGTACCAAACGCCAAACGAGATCCTGCACCCATGTGGCTAAATCTGACACAAATGCCATGTTGGCAGTGGTAAATTACCAGCACCGGCTCTGGCCGGACCAGCCGTGTGCTCTGAGCTGATCTTATTTCTTTAGTTCGGTGCTGCAGGGGGAGTCACTGATTTACCCAGATACCATTGGAAGAAAAAATGTGATTGGTCCATTTCCATTCCATTATATTAACCCTTTGTTTCCCAAGAAATATCAGTCCAAGTTTATAACACTGATCTAGAAATTATTACTAGTGTCGTGTTCATTACTCACTACATTAAAAAAAAATTTAAATTGAAAAAATATATAGTACAAAAGGCCATTCAATATTTTTTTTGAGCCTTCACTGAATACCTTGAAGGCTCTGAGGGTTCAACTCTGAAAGAAATGCTGTTTGCACAACAAATGTGTGGCTCTTTCATTTACATTTCCAATAAAAGTGCACTGTACTCTACTTTTTAATTCATTCATTGGTTTTGCATATATCATGCAATTAATCACGATTAATCGCTCAAACTCACGCGATTAATGTGATAATTTTTTTAAGTTTTTGCTCAGCCCTAGAAATAATCGAAAAATATTTATTTTTAAAGTAACATTAATGATCCTCCCCTGGCAGGGGCGTGATTTCTGAGTATAGTATTAAGTATAGGATATAGATAAAGAGCGGCTTGATTCTGCCTTAACTTTGCAATAGCTGGACATCTGGTTTACTATTAACCGTCTTAACAGCTCGATCTCTCAGGTCAACATAATAAACAAACAAGAACAAAAAAAAAAAACAAGATTTACCTTTAGTTTGTGATTTTATTTTCTACAATGCAAATTTCTAAACAATCATTAACATTAAACATATGAACAGTGTTCTCTGTCTAATTAATAGACTATTAATACTAATCGAAAAAACACAAGCTTGCAGTTTTTAATGGTTATGAGACTGTGGTGTAATCATTCAAATTAAACCGAAAGGGAAAAACAATAAATAAAACTGTATATTTACATATATGTAAAAAAAAAAAAAAAAAAAAAAAGATTTAAAAATACATTCATGGCTTAATTAATGTATATGTTGATTCGCTGCAGAAATACACTTCTCCCTCAATCTGGAGTTTTGTAAATCTGGAAAATGCCTCGGGTTTTCTTCTGTCTTTGATAATGTTACATCCCAGTGCAACAATAATCCACAATCTCTGAAACTCCATAAAGTTGGTTCATTTTGGCCGATGCCGTTTGTTTCTATATGAATTCTCTGCCTCTCCACTGGCAGTAGGAGGTTTAGAGGTGCATGCTGGGATTGCGTGATGACAACAGCATTTTCAGTATTTTCTGAAAGAATAAAGGGTTGTGATGAAATGTGTGCAATATCACACGTTTACTGTAAATGATCACATGACCACACATGGTTATGTAAAAGTTACACCTTGAGGAGAAGATGACGCCCAGAAGTTCTCTCAAATAAAAAGGATGTGAAGTGATTTCAGTTTAACCCAGGACTATGGTCTTTAGTCCACATGTTGGTGGTCACTCTTGTGACCAGTGGGACAGAACCTACCATGGTCTTGGGCAGTACAATCAGGAGCACATATATGTCTTTACATATAATAAATGTGTTATTGATATCACATGAATCGGTTTATATCCACCCTAAAGGAAATTCATGTTTTGTTGCCTGTAGCTGATGGCCTCGTTAAGGCCTGGAACTAACTAAGTCATTGTTGAACTTGGGTTCTTCGTCATTATTGATTGGCCTGATATAGACAGTGAGGGGGAGATGTTCATCAGGTTGTTCAGTCCACCACACTGACCTGGTGGAGGAAGTGAGGACACTGATAATGTCCCCACTAGCTCCACCCCCCTCTCCATTCCCCTCAGTTATTGAAAAGTGAAGGTGACCTCGCTGCTTTAGGGACACGTCTGAAGAACATCCAAGATCTTGTAGCTGCACGAGAGACAAGTGTGAGGAACATCCAAAGTCCTCCAGAACCTATAGAGAGAATAACTGAGGAATAATTATATAGATACCAAAATCTGCCAAACTGAAAGCAACTTTTTAAATGTTAAAATATCATTCAAAATAAATGTGTCTACAATCTCAGTGATTCAAGTCAAAACAGAGAGTGTTTTTACATTAAATTGATCAAACATCTCTTCTGGCAGCTTTAATTCACAATCCAAGATATCAGCCCACTGGTCACAAATGTGACCAGCCATAAAACTCACTTTTTCATGCACTTTTTGACAATTTCCATACAAAATAATGCTTGATCATGCCAAAGTACTATAAATGGCGCATGAATTTCATATTGGCATCTTTGGGAAAAGTTTTGGCATTAATGGGTTAACATGCCAGTGACAAGTATCAAAGATTACAACTCTGTGAGTTCTACTTAAAAAAAAAAAAAAAAAAAGATAGATGCCTCAATAGTACCACTGCAAACTTTTCATGGGGCCAATGGGAGCCCAGCCTGAATGTAAAAATATGAAACTGTGCCTGAAATAAAAGAGAGGAGCAAGGGTCTTTTACATCACAAGTGGCTTTAATAAGACCAGAGCCAAGGGACCAGAGTCATCCTGGTGAGCATCTAATCTTTATTATTTTATAAAAGTAAGAATTTTACAAAACCCAACTAGTAAACAAAACCTAACAAAACATCAAGGAATCAGGACATGCAATGTGTGTGTGATGTTCTAAATGTGACTCAGGAAACACTGGCCTCGGCCCTAGTGCAGATCAGTCTTGATTGACTGATATTGATAAATGATACTGTAAACCTGATATAATTGTTATAAACAAATCCAAAATCCTGACACTGGTGGTGATGATGAGGAGGAGCTGGAGAGTTTTAGGAGGCTGATAGTTCTGCAGATTGGGTGAAAGTGTGCAGGGTGCAGGGACATGGACTGGTACCACCTCCTCAGTGAATACAGGAAGACTACATGGGAATAACTAAACTTCATGTCTTTAAAGGTTTGTGAAAGGAGTGATTAACCATTACTACAAAAACGACAAAGAGGTCCAAGACGACTCTGAACTGCAAGCTTATATCATGGACATATTTGAACATGGCTTTCTGTCAAAAACAGAAACAGGTGAGATATTTGCAAACACACACCATACAACAGCTACATGTAGCAGCTGAATGTACTGTATTTTATAATGATGATGGTTTTGTAGGAATCCCACAGAGCTTCAAAACTGTGAATGAGGTGGTGAAGTTTGTCACTATGGTCATTTTCACCTCCTCAGCCCAGCACTCAGCTGTCAACACTGGACAGGTGAGTTGAAGACATTAGTTTGTACATCGGTTTCACACTGAAGATCTGTTCCACCACATGTATCTATACACTACTGGGTCCGGTCAAGTGGTAACGGAGGGAAACAGGGGCAGATCTTTGACATTCAAATGTCTCTTATTCAGAAACTAGAGGGACTATTGAAATAAGTAAATTATCAGAATGTAGGAAAGAGTTACACTCCAACAGGGTAAAGTTAAACCTGTGATATTCTTTCAAGTTGTTGACAAAAATTTGTAAAAAATTCATGTCGGTAACGGAGGGAATGAAATATGCAGCACTTTTTGGGCAATAAATACAAACAGTGATAACTAGTGGTTCTCACTTACATATCCTTAACAAACTGGTTTGAATATTTGCTTCATATAGTTTTCTACCATATGGTACAAGATTAGGTTGAAAAACCTCTTACTTTTTGAGTCATGAGATTTTTTATTAAGAAAAGTAGAAGGTGCATGATTTTACATAATTTGTCGCTTTTTTCTTCCGAATACTTTAATATTACTTCAAAATGAAAGGAAACTATTTCTATAAAATATGTCAGTCCTTCCAAGCAAATTTTTATCATTTTAAATACTTTAAAAAAAGAAAAAATCATGTACCTTCATCAACAGTTCAAAGATGGAATAACACAAGATATGATGAAATACATCCATTTATTTACATGATTTGCAGGTCTTTGAAATTTGGGAAATAATTTTTGTTCCATGTTTCATACATGGTCTGTTTAAAACATATGGAACTTTAGAACCAAAAATGGTACAGAAAAAGGTCAACAGTTTCATAAACTAGAGTACATATGTATCTGTTCAATATATTTTTATATCAGATGCAGTAACTTGAATTTTTGGCCTTGCTGTTTACTTCTGCTTGACCGGGTCCTATTACTACAAATGACTAATGACTACTAATACTACAACCAATTTGACTACTACCTATAAAATACTGGATTTAGTACAAGACTCCCCTGTAAGTCCCAGCACCACACTCAGGACACTCAGCACTTCTTACACCTGCTGCATACCTCTACACCCCCAGCACACTCTGCTCCACTTCCTCCACTCCACCAAAATCTATTTTGTGTAATTTAGGATCTTTAAATTGCCCTTTAATGATGATGGTTATTAAGATGATTATATTCTCATATGGCTGTCTTGCAGTTGGACATCGGTGGTTGGATGCCCAACTTTCCATCCTCCTTACAACAGCCTCCACCAGTCATAAAGGGCAGAGCAAATGAACTGACCCTGCTGCAGACTCTGCCTGACGTCAACACCACAGTAAACACCCTGGCAGTCCTGTGGCTCCTCAGCACACAGTCCACGGATTTTGTAAGTTTTCCATTTGCTGACTCTAGATCAGTGGAGCTCAATACGTCGATCGTGATCTACCAGCCGATCGCCAAGGTCGTGTGGGTAGATCTCCGTGTCTCGTCTCAGACTCGCGTTTGGACTCGGTCTTGTCTCTCACTCAAGGTCTGACACTCAACAAGTGTGATCATATTTCATTACGGCCGCTGCTGTTGGTAATAAACTTGTAGCGGGTGCAGGAGCGTGTGGGGCGTCTCAGTGCAGCCTGTGCACTCATTTGAAACCCGCGGAGACTCTACGACACATCACAAACACACACGCTCCCTATGCACGGCTCGTCTGCAACAGCGTGTGCCCTCGTGTACCAGCGTGCATCACAGGGCAGGTTCAACTTCCTAAACATCCTACCTGTCCATCTGCCTCACGTCAGCACGCCGCCCCTCGCCTTTTCACGCTCTCGCTCCTTCCTGCGTACAGCGAACACAAGCCCCTCCCACAGTGCGGCTGATTAGAAGAGCAAGACCAAACGTGAAGCAAAAACCAGTCTAAATTTGTGTTCCAGTGTTGGCACAAAGCAGGTCTACAGCATAGAGCAGATCTACAGAACAGACCTACTGCCACATTTGGCTGAAGTTTGTCTAACAAAAGTGCACAAATGCATCTGTGTTTGTCACGATGTGCGTTTGGTTTGATAAACGTGCAGAGGCTGGTAAATATCACTGCAAAACCAGAAAAGAATGCAACTCCAGTTTGGAACTTTAAAAAACTAGTTTAAAAATCTTCCTTCACTTTTTTCACAGTTTGTGTAAAGTGCCAGAGGAAGTTCTCTTAAAGAAGAGGTTCTCAAAAGTGTGAACATCCCGGCACTAGAACATGGCCAGGTCCAGGCAGTTGGTGGCCCTAAACAAGATTTGGCAGTATCTAAGTTTTGTTTGTTTGTTTTTTCAGGTTCCTCTCGGTCAGTGCTACCAATATTTCACAGAGGATGTGTGCTGTAAGATGATCCAAGATTTCCAGAAAGAGCTGAAAGACTTGGATGAAGCTATTGACGACAGAAACAAAAATCTGGAATTAGCATACACGTACCTGATGCCCAAAAACATGGAAAACAGTGTGGCCCTGTAAAGCTCTTGTGGATTACACTCAGTCCATAATGTTTTTGTTTTGGGTCTCAGATCCTACTGATAATACAATGAGTTTCATGACGGATGATTCAAATATAATCAAATGCATCAACTGAATCAAATATAGAACTTAAGAGGGACTGTTTTGCTTCTATGGGGTATAAACTGCAAACACATAACATATTCAGAGCACCATGTTACTTTTTATTGATTTATAAGTTGTGACACACTGTCTCCCCTCCCTTTGCTCTCTGGACTAAGTCACTCTCCCTTCACAGCACTATCACAATACAATCAGAGTGCATCTCGCTACAAAACTACTGCACATCGCTTCATGTTTGTGAAGTTGTGTACAGTTTTGTATCATGTTTTTGTGTAGTTATGGAGAATTGTGTGTAGAGAACGGAGACTTGTACAGAAGCTTACTGCTAATCATAAGGAGGGTTTGAAACAGGCCCAGGAGAGATCACTTATTTACTTTAAGCATGCATGGGTGAGGGAATGGTGGGAAAAAAAACAAAACAAAAAAAAAAGTATATTTTGCATAGCCACAATAAGTGTGAAAGCTTAACTGATCTTTTTTTTTTTTTTTTTTTTTTTTCTAATAATAATAAAACATCAACAACAAAAGTATGTGTGAATTCTTTTATAGAACTTTTACAGATTATTAAAAATGTCAAACAGCCTCATCAACAGTATAAACATGTTTAACCATGTTGTAGTGTGCTTTTACTGAAAATATAATATATCTGTTGAAGAGTAGGAGTGGATGAAGTCAGTGATAACAAACATTCGAAAGGCAATGATAACATAAACGCATTTGAAAGTTTCCCTTATCTGGAGAAGCTGTGCGAGCAGGACGGGCAGAGCGGCTGGGCTGCAGTGAGATACACGTACAGAGATGCTGGAGACAGGTTTAGTGTGGTCCACAGATTTTTTTTTTTCTTTTTTTTTTTTTTTTTTCCAAATGAAGTGCTCAACGTGCAAAACAAAATGTTGCAGGGAGGATGAGAGCAGCAGGTCTTCTCCAGCAGCAGAATACAGAATGGGAAACAGAGGCGCCTTATAAACTTCTGGATAAAACCTTTTAAACTCTGAGGGATGTACAGTTAACCTCAGTTAGAGTTAAAATCCTCCAATAAAATAACCATATCCAGATTAGCCATATAAAACCCAAATATAAAAGATCAAAAGATAAAACCCTAAAACCAAACACCTAATATAACACAACGTGACTAAACTCAATTAAAAACATCTTGAGTTGACCAGGAACCCCCAGATTTGACCCTAAATCTGTCGGGGACCACAGCCCCATGAATACCAGGGGGAGGGACATAGAGTAGGTGACATGTTAGAAGTACTTGGGTGTGTTCTTTGATTCAGCGTGTACAATCTGTCTGCTCAAGAATCAGCCAGCGTCTCTATTTTCTAAAACGGCTTAGATTACATGGAGTGGACACCAATGTAATGCTGATGTTTTACAGAGCATGTACGTTATGGCATGTCAACATGGTTTGGTAACCTGTCAGTCAAACTTAAATCACAGATTTTTACCTTGACTAAAAGAGCGGGTCAAATAATAGGTGTGACCCCTAGTTCACTTCAGCACATTTTTGAGGAGACTGTTAGGAAGCTCGGCAGGAAGGAGCCCAGTGACCCAACCCATGTTCTTCACAGTCAGTTTGAGTTGATGCTGTCAGGCAGAAGGTTCAGGGTCCAAAAACTGTAAATTAAACAGATTCAAACATTCTTCTGTGCCATTAGCACATCTGCTAAACTTAGATAGTGCAGTTAAAACATAAATGTAAAAGGCTCAGGGAATCAAAACTGCACATAGGTTTAGGGAATGTGCAATTATTAATTGAACAGAAGAATGCAAAGGCCTGGGCGTCTCCCTCGGGAGGTGTTCCGGGCATGTCCCACCGGAAGGAAGACCCAGGACACGCTGCAGGGACTATGTCTCTCGACTGGCCTGGGAATGCCGCGGGGTTCCCCCGGAGGAGCTGTAGGACGTGTCTGGGTTGAAGGAAGTCTGGGAGTCCCTGCTTAGACTGCTGCCCCCCGCGACCCGGCCCTGGATAAGCGGAAGAAAATGGATGGATGGATAGAATGCAAGGGCTTGCCTGTTAAGAATAATTTAAAGGTCCTGTTGGTGCATCACTCGTGGTCATACTTGGTTTCGTATCTATTTCTGCTCTATGGTGTTTGTTTATGTGGTGCTTTGTGTTGTGTTGTCCTGTTTTTTGATTAAGCATGTTACCCCCTGTCCCAAGACAAATTTCTCCCATGGGAGACAATAAAGGATTTACCTTGCCTCGCCTCGCAAGTGGTGTCTGGTCCCCGGAGAATCTTTTAGTCAGACTTCTGGACACAAGACACAGGTAAGTAAAATCACTGACAGATACCACACACATGCACATACCACTTTCACACTCTAAAATATCCACACAACACACACACAAGACACAACTAATTTAAAAACACAACACATATATTGTACGATCCCAACTGTAATGTCCTGGTATGTCTACGCAGACCAGCGACCACGTAACACCTGATAAAAGTTTTCAATAAATATTTTAAAACAATACAAACGTGTGCAATTTTTTATATGTGCAAATAAGTGTATGTTGTAAGTGCTGCGTGCTATAAAGGTGCAATGTAAATATATAAAGTGCAAAGTGAATGAAAGTGCACATGTAGAATATTCCTATAGTAACGAACAGGCCGTTTGTTACATGGTGTATCCCTTCATTCATCCAGGAGTGGTTCAATGTAGAGAATGCTTCATCAGTGGTCATCTGGTGGTTTTAGAGTGAAACTATCATGTGTGGGCTGCATCGTACCACAGTGAACTCAACACACTACATTACTCTGTTTTTGTGTTGGTGTCTTGTCCTGGGAACCACCCATAGCAAAGCAAAATTGAAGGTGTGATCTCATTTATGTCACATTTACATCTCCGAGATATAAATGAGCACTAATCGAGACCAAAGTGGTTTCCTCATTCTTCTCAAATGTCTCTCCTGAGAAATAAGTCTCACATTGAGCGTTGGATGAATTCTCTAAATTCTCTCACAGCGTCTCTGTTCTTGATCTCAGCTAAGAGAAAAATGAGATATATTGTGCTGCTTTCAAATATGTCTCTATTTGATATCCTTACTTAGAAGCACTAGCTCAGGTATGGCTCTCACAGCTCACTATTTGAGTTCAGATTTGTCTCTTAATGGCACGGTGGCTGAGTGGCTAGCACTCATGCCTCACAGCAAAAAGGTTCAATCCAGGGGTCAGCCTTTCTGTGTGGAGTTTACATGTTTGTCCCCGTGTCTGGATGGGTTTCCTCTGGTTTCCCCCATCAACCCAAAACATGCTACACAGGTCTCCAGAAAGAATCTATCAATGAATCTGTCCATGGACGACAGGTGGAAATCAGCACTGGTGCTACAACCTGGTACAAAGCATCTTTCCTGTTAAAAGATCAGAGAGCATAAATTAACACTAACCCCTAACCCTACCTGAACTCCTTAACTGTAGCCCCAACCCTTGCCCTAACCTAACCCCTAACCTAACCCTAGCCCTACATTTAACCAAACCCTCCCCCTTTTTCTCAATTTCTGTATGTTTTTTTTTTTTTATTAAATCCAAGACGGCGGACTTTCGGTTTGGGAGGGGTGTAGTCACAATATACGTTTTTGTTCCTATTGGTGCATCTGTGTACCAAATTTGTTTTGAGTATGTCAAAGTTTTTGTTGGACGTCCTATTGGCACGGATGGATGTTTGGTCTGTTGCCATGGCAACATGATGGAAGATGGAGTGAGGGTGTCATTGACTTTTTTCATCAAGACCAGGTCACGAATGTGTGTACCAAATTTAATATGTCTATGACAAAGTAAAATTTCGCTGTTCCATACAATCTCCCTAGGAGGCGCTATTGCATCCATTTTAGATTTTCTCATATAAATCTGTTCAGGGTCAGGATGTACACCAACAATTAAAGTCTGAGTGAATTCGGCCAAAGTTTGTGCGTATTACCGGGCATCAAAGTTTGACAGCGAGCCGCAAAAACAACCCCGAAATTTGCACCATTGCCATGGCGACCCTGTTTGATCTTTTAGAAAGCTTTTAACAACTTGTAATGTCCCACTTGTCTAGATGATACAGAATGATTCTGGTGAGTCTGGGTCAATAACCCTGGGACGATGTAGGGCCAGGGTTATTAACGTAGGGCCAAAAGTGTGTGCACGGTGTGACTGGTGTGAACTGTGGGCCAAAGTGTCCTCTTCAGGAGAACCACCACTTCGCTCTTTTCAAATCGGATCCAGATAAGACACAAATACACTTTACACCACCGTTACTCTAGGGGACGAACTAAAAGCAAAACCAACCAAACTGATCTTCATTTTAGGGAAAGAGGTATATTTTATTTTGGATTTATTTAACTTCTTTGTTGCACTTTTATTTTGATATATTTTATACTTACAAATGTGTTTCCCTGCTGAAGAAATGGATGACCAGTTGTTCATTTTAATCTTGGCAAAGTGATTCCATTCTATCATCTCCTCTAGTTCTTGTAGATGTTAGTGCTGTCTCATTCTGCTCCACTCTCAGCATTTATCTTAAAGCAATATTTATATTTTTAGTTTATCTGCAGATATGTTTAAAAGGGCCCATATTATGTGATTTACTGAACTATGCACTAATGTTGTTTCCTCATCACAAACAGACCCGGAGTTTTGTTTGTTTTCATATACATGTTTAACACACAAACCTGCACATTTAGACTGAGTTCTTCTCTCAGACAGAATACCACCTTGTGATGTCACGTGGTAGCACAGGAGTTGCTCAACTGTGTTTTTAACCTCCAAACACCTTCAATATATCAACACTAAAACTGTGTCTTTATAATTTCTAGCTCTTTATTATATTAATCTGGAACCAATCAGTCTTTAAGTTTAACACAATTTGACAAGACAACAAAACAATATAAATGTTTGGATTAATAAATGTGAACCATAATATTGCTCTGTTTTTACTCTTGCTGTTTTTGTAGTAATTCTAAAATGTTTTTGTTGGAAAATCAGCAAAGATCAGCGAGAGGCATTCAAAATGAATTCTGGTGCAGCTTAAATTGGGAGTTTTATTTTTGAGTTTTTTTACATGAGTCTGTATGGCATCAATGTCAGCAGTGTCGTGCATCCATACTGACTTACCCCCGACAGAGCAGAGATACTGGCCGGTTTTGGTGCTGATGAAAGTAGTCTGGCAAGTTGGCTGGGGTCATGAAAATAACACGTATTTCTCCTCCAAACAATATGTGTTCAAAAGAGTGATACATTTGCACCACAAAACCTTGGTCCGTGAAAAAGTCAGACCTCATCATCGCTTGGCTCTATTTTCTCTCCGTTCATATCAATGTGCGCTGCCGCCAGGTGACCATCCATCCAACAATCCAACACTTTCTTCAGTTGTTGGCAGTGTTTACATGCTCAGACCGGTGACCGCCGTTACGCGAGAGAGCTAACGTGAGAGTTAGAGCAATAAGCTG